TCCTATTTTGAAATATGGGATTGCCTTGTCTTCCGATATTGATCCTAATATACTGTTTGTTTTGTTTTTTTAAAAGAGTGTACAACATTTTGCCATTACAAAATTATCTCCGAAATGGAGCGCAGAATTAACGTAAACTACTGAAATAATTTGAGGATATCTTCAATTATTTTAGTTTGTTAATTTGGCGCTTTGTACATGTACTCTTAGAAAACTTTTTAACTGAGAATTGTTAATATACGATATATAATACCAAACTGTGTTATATTAACCTGATATGTTTTATTTACATATAACGGGCTATACGGCTCATCCAAATTTTCCTGCCCCACTGATGAAATGAACCTCATGAAATTTTTACCTCATTTTGCAATCTTACTCCAAGAGTCGTAATTTGATCATGTTTGAATCTGACCTAAATAATGTTGTTATCTTTAAAATATCAAGCTTCTTCAAGACTTCAAGACTATCAAACTTTTTCAAGAATATTTCTCAAGAATATTGAAAAAAAAAATGATTTGCTTCCTCTTTCGACCATGATCGATCAAATTTGAACGAACGTTATAGTTGAAGACAATTGTTCAATAATTTGACAATCAAAACGCACTCGGTCTTGAGAAAAACAGACAACTGAAAAGGTCCTAGAGAGACCTACAGTGTGAATTTATCATATGTACAAGATGTATCCTACATCTCTTTTACGCATAGTGAATTGAAAGTCTGCATATCGGAAAGCATTTTGTGCTGATAGGAAAATTAACATTGGTCTTGTCCTAGAATTAAATGACCTCCAAAAATTATAAATGTCTTACTTTGATCTTTGTCTATCTTCATAGTGATAATATATCAACAGACCTCAAGATCTGCTACATCCCGTACGTGTACTTACATGTACAAATGTAACAACAGTATCAATAGTATTGGCGTTATCAAAAAAATATTAATAGTAATTCTTTGTTTCAGAAAAAAGGAACGGCGTTTCAAAAAGAAGATTCCAACCTGACAGTCGTGAAATATTAATAAGATGTGTTTGTGAAACACTGATGCCCCCATATGGCATCCCGTGGCAAGGGTTAAAGTTTTTCAAATGTAAATCAAACTCCAAGGTCAGGAGATAAAAAATGTCCGTACCCAAAGAAAGGTCTTGTCACATGAAATACATCTGTGAAAGATGAAATCCCTAGCACCAACCATTAAAAGGTTATGGCAAAGGTTAAAGTTTTTTTTAAAATAGGTCAAACTCCAACATCAAGGTCAAAGCTGCTTATGGCGAAAGTTAAAATTTCTCAAATGCATTTCAAACTCCAAGATCAAGAGATCAAACATGTTCTTACCGAAAGAAAGGACCTGTGTCAATGGATAAACCTGGTAAATATGAAAGCCCAAGCACCAACCATTCAAAAGTTATGGTCAAGGTTAATATTTTCTAAAAGTGGTTCAAACTCCAAGGTCAAGGGCTCAAAATTAATGGTTTGCGGATGAAGACCTTGTCATAAGAAATATACTTGCAGAATATAAATTCCTGGCACCAACTGTTCAAAAGTTATGGTGAAGATTAACGTTTTTCAAAAGTAAGTCAAACTCCAAGGTCAAAAGGTCAAAATTATTACTCATGTAATATTCAAAGGAAGGTCTTGTCACAAGGAATACACCTTTGAAATTTTAAATTCCTAGTACAATCTGTTCAAAAGTTATGGCCAAGGTTAAAGTTTTTTTTTTTTTTAAAGTGAGTCAAACTCTAAGGTCAAGGTCAAAAATATTTACACAAATGGAAACATCTTGTCACGATGAATACACATGTGAAATATGAGAGCCGTAGCACCAACTGTTTAAAAGTTATGGCCAAGGTGAAAGTTAGGTAATTTTTTGCAAAAGTGGTTCTTATTCCAAGGTCAAGAGGTCAAATATATTGGTTTCCAAGGGAAGTTCGTGTCACAAGGATTACACATGTGAGCCATAGCTCCAACCAATCAAACGTTATAGGCAAGGTTAAAGTTTTTGCGGACAACCAGACAAACAGACAGACAGCTGACGAACGGACAGGGCAAAAACTATATAACCCTGAATTTCGATTACGGGGCATAAAATATTCTACACTAGATCATATCTTAACATTACAGTCCCTATAAAAAATAATGCAAAAGAAAGAAAAAAATATTCTTTGCTTTCGTTGATTTTAAACAAGTGTTTACTACTTACTACTGTGTGGCGGAATGGGCTTTGGAGCAAGCTGCACATTAGTGGAATAAATGGCAAATGTTTTCAATATATTCAGAATATGTACAAAGGTGTTAAGTCTATGATGAAAATAAACGGCATGTCGACAGAATTATGTAGTTGTATAATGTCGAAGTAAGGCAGGGATAAAATCTTTCACCATTTTCATGCTCATTGCTACATGTAGTATATATAGATGTTCTTGTAGAATTTTTACTGAACAAGAATATTGTAGGTTTACAGAGTATGGCAAGTGCCGCCGAAAACGAATTACTCGTGTATTTTAAATTATTGATTCCTTTTTTATGTGGATGACACTGTTATTATGGCTGCCAATGAATTACAACATGCACTAAATGAATTTCATATATATTGTTTACAATGGAAACGAATTGAAAAGTGAATGTTTATTATGGAAAGTTAGTTAATAGAAAAGTTAAATAAATTAAATATCTATGCGTTGTGTTTTCTCGCACAGATTCCTTTTGTAAAATTAAAAAAACCTATATGAACAAGCACAAAAGTCATGTATGGCATTATAAGAAAAAATAGACAATATCAGTTGACTTGATCATTTTGATAAAGTTATAGTACCTTATTATATGCATCAGAAGTCTGGGGCTATGGAAATCTTGATGATATTAAACGTTTACATTTGAAATTTTCAAAACATGTATTTAATTTGAAAAGTTCCATGCCAGGGTGCATGGTTTATGGTAAAACATTGTAAAATGATCTCTTATTGCCAATATTGGGCAAAGCTTATTTCGGGTCTGCAAAATAAAATTGTAAATGTATAAAATAAATTGTAAATATATAAAAGTTAACAAATATATAAACTGCATTGTGATGGAAATTTAATATACGGTCCATGGTTAGTCTCCATGCAGAAAATTTTGAAATACTAGTATATGTGTGTATTATCAAATGTATGGCACGAACAGCTAGCGTTAACCAATTTCACAAGTATTTTTTTTTATATTTGGGACACAGCTTGTTAATATAAATTTCGAATCCAAAGTTTTGTTTGAAAATTCTGTAACTTTGTCCTTTTGAAAAGTTATTTATATCACAGAACCACCTTTGAATAAATTGATCTTGCAATATTTATCATACAATAGGGTCACCCTTTTATACTTTAATTCCATACTGCAAATCACCATCTTCCATTAGAAACTGGTATACCACTTAGCGAAAGACTCTGTAACTTTATGATAATGCTTAAATTGCTATTGTTATTAAATCTATGGAACTAATGTCAACCCCAAAAAATATCCTTGAAAAATTAGGTATGTTTGTCCTAAACAATTATGATGCTGTCTGTCCTCCTTGATTTATTTTTCTACCACTCTTTTTTTTTCTAATTTCTGTTCATTTTCTGTCATGTTTGTACATACTAGTATGTTATAAGTATTGTTTCCATGTACCAATTGTAATTCGAGTAAATAAAATAAACTTGACATAGTGAGGGATGTCTAAGAAGAAAAAAGGCTCTGTGAAAAAAAAGTGCAAATCATTTTGTCCAAGTTTGAGAAAATTTGCGCAGAGCATGGGCGGTAACTCTGACTGTCTCGAAAAATTAAATTATGGCAAGATTCATATTTCCTGGTCATGTTCAACCTATCTACTTATTGTCCTAGAAATTCATAGACTTATTTTGTTTATTTCTCATTTCAAGGTATAAAATCATTGCTTATCGTAGGGCTCCTTGGTTTATGATCATTTGAATGTCGGTCAGGAAATGTCAGTTTAAAAAAAAAAATTGTATCATTTCTAAAAATCGTTAAGTTTCATAAATAAGATTTATTTGCTAACCCGGAAATTTGGCCTGTCCACAGTGAATTAACTACATGTATTTCTCTTAAAAAAACAAAAAACAAACAAAAAAGCAAAACAAAACAAACAAACTAACAAAAAACAAAAAACAAAAAAAAAACAAAAAAAAAACAAAAAAAAAAAGACCTGCCTTCGGCTTATCAGGAATATATATAGTTGATGCTGTGGTATTTAAAAAAAAATACTTTTCTTAATTTTTTTATTTTTACGATTCAAACTAAATTTTTAGTGTGCTGATATATCCCGCTGCATCGAGGCAATGATTCTTTAAAACAGATCATCAGATCAAAACTTTATTAGAGAACCCCACTGTTTTTATTTCTCCCGTTAAGGCTTTTTCATGACTTTTAGTGTGTCACCAATAAAGATGCTTCCAGAAGCTTTATATTACCTGTTTATAATGGTTTTTACTATGTGACACAGTATCTACATTGTGAATTTTATGCTGCTTCACACTGCGTCTGACAGTGTCTCTTATTTAGTACATCAATTTGTCTTCTCCCTCGAGGTTAGACCTACACGCGGCGGGGAGCGGATATCGGGAGGTCTCCTTAATTTATAACTGTGTATCTGAAATGCTCCACTCTTTACAAAACCCATTGCTAAATTACACATTAATTCGCGCCGCGCTCTGCGACTTTTGTCTCCCGAGTCGTTTACTTGATATCTATGGTTTCCTTTTTATTATGTGTAAAGTTGATGGCAGAATTCAAGGACATGCATTAGGGACCTATTGGGAACCATCTGAATTTTAGACGTGAAAAATTAATCACCTCCCCATAACAATTTTTCTCTAGAGTGAGGAAGGAAAGTATTTGTTCTAGTGACACTTCAAGGCCTAATTTAATTAATACACTTTTCGAAGGAACAGTCATTTCCAGTATTTGTATTTGTATATTGACATGCTAAATAAAGACACGGGAAAAGTAAACACATGGACAACTCAGACAATGAGCGCAGAAGCTTTTATTTGGCTACCATTGTAATGTCTTCCCATCCGTTTAATTCAACGGTTTTCTCATCATACAAAAATTACCGCTACATGAGAAAAAATCTCATTAACATAACAATAATCGTATCAGCACTAACAGGAGAGATCGATCTATACGCATGCGCACTGGTGCTTATCTTAATGAAAGGCGCTTATTACAAACACAATAACAGTCCGTGGTAACGTGTTTATTGATGTGACCACGTCCACACGGGTAAACCGATGTATAGCATGCCACGGACTTTCCTGCTCTGGCGAGAAGAACCGACATCAGGAAAAAACGACAGTTGTCATCCAGAAAATAAAGAATATTATTTGATAGACTCTGCTGCTGAAGCAGGTGTTTCCCTGAAGCCTGACAGACGAGTTTTTGGTGAGTACCACTCATTGATACAGTTAGAGATCAGGATAGTTCCGCAAGAAAGCGAGGCATGTCATGTATCAGCTTTCTTCGGAACCATTGTTAATTGAAAATAGATTTTTAAACGTATGGAAGTAATTAACTAAGTCATTATAATATTTGTGGTGTGTCTTGGGTTCATCATATCGCTAGCTGCAGTGGTTACACTAGTTTATTACAGAGTCTTGAAGGGGTGTCGCACTTGTGCCCGTTTTTCTGGTTAAACACGTTTCCCCGCAGGACTAATGTTTTTACATATTCTTATCAATATTTTATCAAATTCCAGTTTTATCGATTAGTAGTAAACATATGTTGTTACCCGACTAATGAATTTTGATATTTTATTCATTTGCCTTAAGGAAACATGTAAACTATCTTGATCTGTTACTTTTAATTTTTTCATCTTTTTTCTGAATTGACATGTTTATATTACATGACACTTTCATCTGATTGCAAGAGTACATATTCCGATGATTAAAATGACAGAAATGTCACAAGTGAAAAATAAAGTAATATTTTGAGTTAACCAACCTGAATTACCTGATATAAAAAAAATGGTTTAAATTGGGCTACCTTACATAATTCTGAGACGTAAATTATATGATTCTTGTTACTAGCATCAGAAGCACCTGTTATGGTAGTTTCATCCTAATTAGCGCCATCCTCTCCAAACGAGACACGGAAAAGTATTGATTGAGTTATTAGTAAAGTCTTCCAAAACATGCAACGTTATCCTTTAAAATCAATACTGTTATTTCAGACGCCCGTGTTTCGGTATTTTTTTTAATCAAATGTAATTCAGAGCGCTGGGGAAAAAATTTGTTATGAATAATTAAGTAACGCTTATAATTTAATTATTAAATATTAGATATTCTTGTGGAGAGAAATTTAACCTTTTCATGACTTGGTAAATACGCGTTATCTGAGAAGATCAACGTAAAATACAAAATATAAAAGGTGTCAAAATAAATCTACTTTGGCACAATATTGGATTAAAAGATAGATACTAATTTAATCTCATGATAACCAAATCACCGGGTAAACAAACAGAATAGTGCGTGTGTGATTTCCGTAGAAACATAGCTAGATAGGCCTCCAAGTCATCATTACTGAATCAATGGTGTTGGGTCGTTGATCTGGAACTCGATAAGACGTTAGCAAGACGACTTAATGGTCAAACCCCGCAAATTAAGTCCCATAATATACTATCTTTATTTAGGTCCCTAATTGTAGCAACAGACATGTTAGAGAGATAGGTATAAGACAGCAAACAAAGGTCTTGTACGAATAACAAAACCTGAGTCTGCTGACATGTGTGTTTTGATATCTATCTATTCCAATTTATCTAATCGTCCACTTTCCCGCTAACCACATGTGGACATTAGTAGAACTTTTCCAGTTGTTGCTCTAATGTCTTTTTCACGCGATGGCTAATAAGAAATGAAATTACTTTTTACTTAATTTATTTTTGCAACAGCTTAATCCAATTTTATTTCTAGTTCCCTTTCACACCTTTCCTGTTTTTCTTTTGCGAACAAAAGTAATGCAGGGCTCTATTTCTTAATTTAAGAAGTAACAGTTGTTCTTTTTATGTATAGAAAAGAAGTGTAGAGAGCGAGTTTTGCTCTGCCACCCCTTCATTCTTACAGATAATTAGTCTATCTGCCCATCGCGCCATTACGCCAGCCCTTTATCCACCAGAAACTGCCCCTAACTATTTCCAACAGTTAATCGAGGGAAGCTCTGTTATTTTTCACAAGTTTGTATTTTGGCTGGAAATGAAAAATTACGTAAGGTTCATTTAGCGGATTCGCTCGGCCATTAAAGGACAACATGCGTGGCTCGTGAATTAGCTATCAATATGGGGAATAAACGAAGTGTTAAATGAATGGATCAATGAAAAAAATAGTGAGAGAGAGAGGGATTATTGATGTCTTAAAAAGGCGCCAAATCAAATAAAGTCACAAACTGTTTATTTTTACTTAAATAAACAAATATTTACTTATGCAATATATCCCCACCAAATAAGCAACGGTTTAATTTTCATTCTTAATCCGGATGTGTTATAACCCTTTCTTTTTCTTTTAATATCAACTTTTATTTCAAATCTTTTTTTTAAGATAAGACATACAGTTTTGATACAAAGACAGACGATGGAATTGGTTTTAACCAGTTCTGTGTTGTTCTAATGAAAAATATAATATTTGCGTAATGGTATAAGGTGTTTTAAGTTTAATAAATAGCCGTGCAATAAACAACGATGCAACAGTCATAAAATCCCAGATGTTTAGTATTTTCACAATTAAAAAGAAGTTATGATCTTCTCCCAGCGCGTGGTCGATATCAGTTTTCATATTTATTACTTCATTTTCATACGTGCTCATGTACTCGTATAATTATGCATTAATTTTCGTTTTAATGAAAAACTCATCGTTATAATATTTTTTATCCTCTCTCTTATTTTTTTTCTCCATTAAATTTAACTAATAAAACTTTGATTTATGAATTCAATAAAGAAAGCTGTAAAATGTTAACGGTACTCGACTGTCGAGCAGCTTCGTTAACGGACTGGTTCCAATAGACATCAGAAACGGCCGCCACCCGGCTAGCCCTCGGCTATTATCATTAACGATCATATCTATCAATCTATTGTAAAACACATATCAACTAAATGTAAACCAGTTCACAACTGTTTTCTTAAACAATGAGATTAATCGTATTTATTGGAGATCATAAATAACCTGGTCCACACCTGTACCCTCGCGCGCTCCCCGGGGGTCTGATTACTGTATATACAAGTTTATGATGCTCTGGTCCTTTATCAGAGTGGGTTTGGGGTAAAGTAATCATTTTATTCAGATTCATGGGACTATTCGGACATGAGTACGTCATATTTACGTAAGTCTACTTACTTGCTTTTCTAGTATTCTAATTTTCCCTGAACACAATTAGTGCTATAAAACCAACATCAGTTGTATAAAAGCAGTAATTTATTTGATTTTGATTAATGTTAAACTTTGACGCACACGATTACTTAACATTGATATTGCATATGAAGAACAGGAATATTCTTGTCCATTTCATTAGCGCTAGAGCACCTAAATTGCTCATGATCCGTAAAATTTTCTCAAACTCTGCTTAGTCTCCCCCCTTTAAAATTTTAAATCGATTTGTGTATCCTACTCCTAGTCAACTTTTCATTCCCTGTCTGTGAATGAATTAAGATTTCCGTTACACTGTCATTGTTAACGACTTAAATCAGACCTCTCTCAATGAGGCATACGAGCTGATTCACCCTAAATTGGAGGAATTAAAAACAGTTACTACACCTGTCGTATTCTCAGCAAATCAGAACTTTGTGGGTCAACTTCTGCTGCTCTTAAGGCCGTGTTTTTATTTCTCAATGTTATACCATCTGTAGGAAATCTGTATCGGACCAACCTGACAATCAGATTTAGATAGCTGTAAAACCGTGTCGCCGGATTTTCTGGGTGAACGAGGGGTGAAGAACAATTTACACCTGTTGCTGGACAGGTAACGATTTGAGGGTGGTAAAAAAAAAACTGTCAGGTATTCTTGGGCCCTGGTTTAACGGAGAGAGAGAATGTAAAACAAATCTATGTAATTATTCGGTGTATACATATATATAATTTAATTACTCATAACCGATGATAACTTATCTTTCAGTATATATGAAATTACAACTACATGTATATACATGTGTGTCCATCATATGAGTCGTGTGCATTTTATAGACCAGTACGTGACCATGTACAATATATTAAATATATTTTATAGTCGTCACAAATTCTCAAAAGTATCTGATAAAACTCCCACACTGATTAATAAATATGTGCTGACCTTTTTTCACTTTTATGTCCTTTACAAAGTCCAAATTAGTTTTAGAATTAATTCTGATAAAAACTCCCACACTGATTAATAAATATGTGCTGACCTTTTTTCACTTTTATGTCCTTTACAAAGTCCAAATTAGTTTTAGAATTAATTTAATTAAATCAATAATGTACACATGTATGTTATTATGTAAAGATTGATTCTATAAATTGATTGACGATCAAGCAGTCCTCTCCAAAAGGACGAAGATTGCAAGTGTATAAAAATTTACAAATAACTAAGGATTGACAAATGAATAATATTTTAAAGCAGGTATTACTTTCAGAAAGACATAAATTGAATTATACAAAGGAGAAAAAATCAAAATATACATGACAATGTAATATATGGAAAAACTCTAAAGGGGTGCAAACACACAGCAACAGAACGAACTAGATAGAGGGAAAATATAACATTATTTAGAAAATGACTAATGTTTATGAGAGCCGTATACATAGAAATGCTGAGGTATAAAGGGAGGAAAAGGTATATCACATTAATTTCTAAAGACGTGAATGGACATCGTCACATGAGTGGACATTTTAGTAGAAGAAACATTTATTATCTGTAAAAAAAAAAAAAAAAAAAAAAAAAAAAAAAAAATCATTGAGCATTTTAGCGGATTTTTAGAGATACTTTTAATTCTGGTTAAACAATGTAAAATCCTAAAAAATTCACTTATGGTCAGCGGATTAATGACCAAGTTTTCAACTCTATTTGAGGTTAAGAAATCACTTAAATAAAGGAAAAACCTCACTTATATACACATGTTGGTAGAAATAAATACATGTAAACTCTAATTTTATTAACATTAATTATATATCCTTCTTCAAGCCCGTTTGCCTTTTCCCCCCTACCTCCCCGTTGGTAAGGAGCTGGCAGCTGCAGCAGACAGACTGCCCAGCAGAAGAGATATAATTACCATGAATGTATACTTGACTTATAATTCTCCAGCTAAAGTGTCTACATTTTACATAAAATTTTGCTAAAATGTTCTATGAATCTTCCTCTAAAATATCCACAACTCCCCCCTCCTGAAATGCCCTATTCAAAGAAAATAAAAACTTACTTATTGAAGATGGTAGAGGTCGTCGGGGATTTTATCTTATCTCAGAGTTTTTACTTCACTGATTGGAAGCCTTTTTTTTACAGTCTTAAGAGAGGTAAAGTTTTTGTAATTGATCCAAACTCATATATTCCAATGTCAAATTAGAATTCACCTCAAGACTAAACCTGTCCCCTGAATTCTTTCGAGATATTCATTCACCTTTTGTGCCGTGCGGAATATATTTTTGAAATTCTTCGATTGAAATAAACAGAATAACAACATTATGTCATCTTGAGAAATTAAACTAGAATGTACTTATCGCAAATCAAAAAGTATAAAGAAATCTACAGTATACGTTGTTTACTGATTTTATTTCTGATAAATTCTTTCAGGTTCTGTGTTTCAAACTTTACTCATAATAATTTTTATTCTATTTTGACAGAAGGAGAAAACATCATGGAGAAAAACAGTACAAACAGAATGACCATTGAAATAAAACCGCTTCAGGAGAGAAATAGTTCCAATCCACCTCATCTGAAAAATGCAAAAGTTTTGGGGAAATCTCGCGAGGGAAATTCTCGCCAGTCCTCGTTAGATATCCTAGCAACAGCGGCTGCGCAGTGTTCCTCTACAGAATGTACTGATCCACATGAAAGCGAAAGAAAAAGAGAGAAAAACTCAGAAAGTTGTGATCTTGAGAACGTTGTCCCATTAAATTTTCAACAAAAACTTCCATCATTTGCGACGTTGGCATACAATATGGTCCGTAACTTTCAAACAAAGCCCATGTCTGAAAATATTCGACAAGAGAGGGAAAATCAAACGACCCCAAGGCCAGGAATCCTTTCTGCGTCGTCTCAATCTTCCTTAGCGATAACAGGTATGAAAAAATCACCCCGAAAATCGCCAAAAAAGAATTCAGCTAAATCTGGTCGATCAGTTACTCATGGAAAAGAAAATATACCTACGTCCACAAATGGCGAAAACAAGGTCATGCAGGATGCATCAGACACAATACGTTCAGCCAGAGAGACAAACATCTCCAATGCTTCGGCAGAATATCTGAAAATGACAAACAGTAATGTTAAAGTAACTGAGCACATTTGTAAAAATTCTACCAATAGTCCTACAGATGAAGCGAGAGTTGTTCTAAAACCGAAGATCTGGAATCCTCTTTTTCACGAATACACACCCAAGAAACAAATCTCAGATAAAGACTTAATAATAAAGACAGAGCCTGTGTCCGATCCCCCAGATTCTTTTCATCAGATCAGTGTTGTAGAAACGCCTGCTATGCCAGTTACCAAAAGAAGTCTCATCAAACATACAGTGGAATCCATGATAAAGAAAGAAGAACCGTCCGTAGACGACTCCAACGTGACCATTAAGCGTCTTCTGCCTAGACACGAAGAAGAACCAAATGCCAAGAAAATAAAGCTTGAAAACAGTACACCTAGTGTAATGCAGCTGACTCAACCTTTAACTGAGAGCAAAACTCCATCCAAATTCCCCATCATCAAAGCAGAATATCCAACCTTGTACAAGATCCCTGCAACGCCAACCCGTATGTCTCCTTACTTTCAACGCGTATTTGAACCCTCACCCAAAACATTCGCTGATGTTGCATTGCGCCCTCTTATGCCACCACTGCAACGTTGCGCCCTATCACCATTCAGTCCATCATTTGGGAGAGCAGATAATCTGATGACCCCTGAACTTTATAAATCCCCCCTCTTGGTTCAACATAAAATTGATCCGACTTCGTCACAGAGTAACTTGGATACACCTTTAAAATCAGCACCAGTTTCTGTCTATGGGTCGCCTTCTGTGACGTCATCAAAGTTAGAATCGCCAGTATCCCGACCAAACGAATCCGTCTTCGCTGTTGAAAACAAGCCATCATTGGCTAGGGTGTTGGCGCCAAAATTTGCAGACCTTAAAACCAAGCCTGAAAAAATAACCCTCTCGAACGAGGTGAGTGAATTTGGTGTGTTTTCTAAATGTCGATTTTGACCCATAAGCACAGATGATACAAACAAAAATGCTTGGAATCATATGTATATTTTTGAACATATTTTGGTTCAAATAAATGATGCAAATATCAAATTTCTACATACTGAGAAAAAGTAAACTTTCTATGATCTTCAAAATTCTACCATTTTGTTTTCACCCTTATAAATCTGTACAACTTATCATCACGTTATAAGACATTGTGAAATTTTAAATGAAAACTTGAAATCTCTCGAAAATTATTTATTTTACATATATTAACATGGTTTTAGCTCTCATTTTCATGACTTTGAAAAAAAAATTGTATCATCTATCTTAAAGACATAGCCATATATTTTATTATATTTTATGTTCCTCTATTTTTTTTTTTTTTTTAAAAATTACTTATCTGCAGAGAAACTTACACGGATGCGTGCTTTGTTCCTTATGTATTTGTTGAATTTTCAGCACTCTGCTGTGGTGGAGCTGGTAAATGGAGGTTTTGGAATCAAGAACCCCTCGTATAGTGCACCCAAACCCTCCGACATAACAAATATTCAACAAGGTAAAGACTCAACAGGTCGTCTATATTGACATAAATTTAATAATTCAAACAGTACACAAAATAACAGATGTACATTTTCTGACGCGTGTCACAGATTTGTTTATCAGATGCTTTTAACGTTGTAAAAGTATTATTATTCAATAGATTTTAAATCTTTGCAATATGGAACACAATTAAACCATCTGTTACTTTCTGGGTCTTGACTCAGGCTTTTTTTAAGAATAGAACTTTAAGTAGAGCAATGTTTGTTTTCTTTGTCCAGATTTGGAGACTGGTAAAGGGAAATACGTCTGTAAGATCTGTTCTAAAGAATTTGGATTACAGCGCTTATTGAATCGCCACCTGAAGTGTCACAGCGATGTCAAAAGGTACCTGTGTACCTTTTGTGGTAAAGGCTTCAACGATACGTTTGATTTGAAACGTCACACTAGAATCCATACAGGTATATCTTTGAAAATCAAAGTACTGATACAGTACTGAAAGAATAAATCAATTTAATCAATTTAATATGATTTTGTAAACTCCACAACTTTTGCTATTTTCATAGTTTTATGTCACTAACATGAAAAACAGTTTGAAAATTTTTAAAATCATAAATGAAATGTGTAATTTATTATTACAAATTTATCAATGAATATATACAATGGAAACTTTTTATCATGGCCCGAATTGGCCGTAGCGCTATTAAAGCGTAATGTTAAACGTCACCAACATCAAGGCCTTTGTTTTTGTACTGAATTGACTACGGATAGTTCCGTCTACCCGATCAATACATAGGACTCACGGCGTATGTGGCCGGTCAACAGGGGATGCTTACTCCTCGTAGGCACCTGATCCCACCTCTGGAATTTCCAGAGGTCCGTGTTTTATGTCCTCTTCACATCTTTGTATTATTTATGGATTTTTTCACTGTTCGTTATCTTTACCTTTTACATGATCAATATATAATATAGATGATGAAAATCTTACGCATCCGATTGTGACTGTTGAGATTAACAAAAAAAAGTTGAATTTCAAAATTCATTACCATTTTTATTTGTTAAGAAAAATCTTCCATTACTTTTTTGGATTAATTTAGTATGTAATTTTTGACCAGAAGAAAGTCGGCACTCTTTCCTTTAGTGTTGATTTTTTTGAGGGCGCTACACTGCTGGCTTCCGGTTGAGACCTCGACTGACAGTACTAGTAAAACTAATAGATGGGGTCGTGTGACCCGTTCTAAAATGAAATCCTTGATCTGATATTAACATGTGTGATATCGTTTAGCGCATTTCTTGTATTGTGTGTAGACATAATCTTAACAAATTCATTTTTTCTTCAGGAGTGAAACCTTATTCATGTAGCGAATGTGACAGATCATTCACACAAAGATGTTCTCTAGAATCACACTGCCGGAAAGTCCACAACATGGATGTAACTTTCGCCTACAAACAGCGGAGAAACAAGATCTACGTGTGTGAGGAGTGTGGCCATTCCACACCTGATGCTAGCAATCACTTCGTTCATCTCCGAGAAAACCACCCGAACAATCCTGCGCTTTCAAAGTATCACGACAGACGTCAATTCAAATTCTCCATGGAGAATCAACAGAACATCCAATTGCCGCGAACGTGACCAAACAGCAAAGACAAATTCCCAACCCCGCCAATCTTACCGATTTAATGAGCAGCTTTAATGTTAATGAAATGTATATTTTCCTCTAGTCATTTCTGATAATTGTACAGTTTTAGTTCATGGTGCTAAATGCATGTTCGCGTAACTGTTTCAAGAGTGGTTGCATGTTTCATGTTTAGTAGTAAATTATTATGAAAATCTCTGGCTTGTTAGAGTTATTTTTTGTATACTAACTTTTAACAGTTGTGTTTGATAAACAAGTATTGTGTAGCAAGTGTTCGATAGACTGATACAAAGAAACTTCACAGAAGTGGTCAGTACAAATAGCATCTGGTATACTGGTCTTGTAGAATAGGCTTTCTCCCCTAAAATCTTTCAAATTAGGCCTTTGTTTATATACAAACTATTCGTCTACCTGATGAATACATAGGGTGTGACCGGTCGACACGGGATGCTAACTCCTCCTAAAAATAGGCATCTGATCCCACCTCTGGAATTTCCGGGTGTCCGTGTTTTATGCCCTATTTACAGATATGTATTGTTTGCAGATTTATTTTTAGATTGACCACCGTTATTTTCACCTTTTTTTCCAAAAAGGACTGCAATACATGTGCCCTAGGCATGTATTTCTAATAATTATTTTTAAATCAAGGTTTTCATGATATCTTTTATCTTGAAACGTGTACTTTTTCATCATTTAACGTAAAAGTCTAATAGCTAAAGCTGTAATAATAAATAATAGAAGCACGGCCTGGATATAAATACTTGATATTTCTTGTGTACAGTCTTGACCTTTAAGGTTCACTGACACTCTGATAAGGGAGATAATCCTCACTAGGACATGACTATTCTTTTAATTAAATACTAAAATGCTCTCTTTGTTAATATGGGAATTAATGTTGCAGCTGTTGCAGAAAAAATACATAACCCTCGGGTTATTAAGAAAGAAAGACAATTTATTGGGCCGGCTTCATTTGTCAGAGATCGGCGTACGCCGAATTGCGCCGGTCATATGATCGGCGTTAAACGGCTAACTGGCAAATGAAGTAAACCGGCGAAAACAAAAAATAATTACACTATATAATAATCAATTAATTAAGATCTATCACTTTTTACGTTATGTCTTAGCGAAAAATAGGTTGGATAATTAGAAATTCAATGTTAAAAAAAAACATGGACCTCATGAAAAAAAAATATTTTTAGAAAATTAGAACGGATTTTAAATATATGAATGGAGAATTGTTCAAGAAATGCAAACAATTAAAGAATATGCCGAATTGGTAAAAAGTATCTGCATTTTATAAGTTGTTTTTTCTTCCCGCCATATTTCTAAGACCGGCGAATTCCTCGCCGGTCATTTCAGACCGGCGAGATCGGCGTACGCCGGCGAACCTTCCCCGGTCAAATGAAGCAACAAGCCGGGTTACCAAAGGTCAAGCGGCGCATTCGGCGTACGCCGGTTTGACAAATGAAGTCCCACCATTGTTTATATTTATGTCTGCATAAATTATCATGTAAAGTAGGTTAAGGTTTGTCATTCATCAGCTTTTAAGAAAAGTTCACCCAGATTCTCTAATTTCAAAACTATTCATTACAATTCAATTTTTATAACATTTGAATTAAACAATACAAATTTACCAAGCTAAAAACCGACTTCTGTCAAAGATTGATTGATTGTTGTTTAACGTCCCATTCGAGAATTTTTCACTCATTTAGAGACGTCACCATATACCGGTGAAGGGCTTCAAATTTTGACCTTCACTCGGCACTCAGGGCCATTGAGCAGTGGGGGATCTTTATCGTGCCAACGCCTGCCGTGACACGGGGCCTCGGTTTTTAAGGTCTCATCCGAAGGACTCGCAACTTTCACTTCAAAGTGGCGAGCGCATGGTGAAGGAACAGTTGCTACCCATTTTTTATCGACTTAGGTCAGTCGCGGTCGAGATTCGAACTCACGACCTCCCGATCACGGAGCGAGCGCTCTACCGACTGAGCTACCGTGAACGGTATTCTGTCAAAGAAGATGGACGAACACGGAGAACGAAATGCCTACAGTGCGACAAACATAACAAAATTTCAATTGGATATTTCATCTTACATACATTTTGTTTAAATTTACATTAATTTGCAAAAATCTCACAAAGATTGAAATTATTTGACTGTGAAATAAAATACGCATGCACACTAAAGAGAGTAAAAAAAAGGATTATTTTCTCATACTATAACATAATTTTTCGATATGAGTGTCTTCGCTGCATTTTTTTAAAAAAAGTTTATCCTCAAAGTTTGGGTAAAAATAAACATTTTTTGTTTAACAAGAACATGGAGCAAAGACCCACTATACCTAAAAGATCCACTTTTATGACACAACGATCGCATCTTTCCGGGAAATACTTGAAGTCCATTTAGTCAAGGATCATATCACAAACATGATTTAAATGCCGCTACTCATCAAGAGTTGTGTAGCGTGGTGGTTAGCGTGCTAGTCATAAAAAAGCGTGCTAGTCTCAAAGGAAAATGATACTCAGGATTTTTATTGCTAGGGTTCGAACCCTACAAATACCATATCATTTTTTTAATAACAGAATTATTTTTGCCGAGAAAATTTTCCTCAGAAAAGTTTTGTTTATCATATTTTCATAAATTTCAATAATGAGAACTTAACTCTAAATACAAAATTTAGAAAATGAATATTATTTTTAAATATCTGAAGATATAGGCATTCTGCACGCCTTGTTCGCCCATCTCCTTTGCACCGCAAGGTATGCTTAACTTGTGTGCATTTCATTTCTTTTGAAAAATCATAAGAGCTGATGCAAAGTTTTATATGAGTGAGAGGATAGATAAGGAACCTTAATCTTCTGTTCAGTTTATTCTCTCAAAAGCATGACATGTACATGTAAATGGTACATGATATACAAAAACATTTATACATGTACTTATAATACAATAGGTCAAGTAAGAAGTGTGAGTCATAAGTCTAGCTATCAAAATATCAATACATGTAGTAGACCACTTGCACACAAACTACATGTACTACCGGAGGAGTGTTCTTTACTTACATGTATATTGTATACGTTTATGTTGGTCAATGCGATTTTGAGGGGAAGAGAAATTTATAATTAAAGTATGTCTTTAAAAAATGAAAATGTCAGAATATTTTTTAGAAATATTATCATATATGAAATATGCAAAATATTTACATCCTTTACATTCATATGAAAAATGCGTCTTTTCTGATCTAATATACATATCTGCTTATCATATTCCTAAGTTTAAAATTCCAGCTCCCGTATTTTTTCAGAACATTTAACATGTATAAAGTATGTTTCCCAATTGATGGCAACGTCTTTTTCTTGTTTAAAGTGGTAATGTTATGGAATTTGAGGAAACAAAAGCACTAGGAACTTTTAAGAATTGAAGTTGTGATAGAAAACTACATGTATATGGCCGTAGGAATCGGGGGAGGGGGGAAAGGGGGAAATAATTTTGACGATATATTGTATACTTTAGAGGCCCCCTCAATATTTAACGTCTGATGACCTTTTTTCCGCTTGTCAGTAAATTGTGGCTTGGTACGGTAGTACCCGCCCATACTGTGCCCCCCTCCCCCCAAAAATCTGAAATTTCTTCCTACTAGCCTTAATATCAAGGACAGATTCAATTTTGAAAATCTAATTTGTCAAGATAAAACTAATTTTTATTTCCGCAAATAAATTGGTTTCCTGCTGTACTTACCACAGAAGGTTGAATTAAGGGAGCCGACTGGGGTTTTATTGTGTGAAAACTACTATAGAGAAACTCTTTAATTTTATACAATATATACCTTACATTGACTTCAGTATATATGCCAAGTTTAGTGAACATCTACCGTCTGGTTATTTTTTAGGGACCATCTCAAAATACAGGTACATTTACTATAGGGCTATATAGGGAAATACCATTTTTTCGCACTTCGGAGCAAATTATACAAATGCTACTATAGACTTTTTGCTCAAATTATATTTTTTGATGGATAATACTATATTGTACATTTCTTGCAAGAAACACAAAATTCTACCGTCTGGTTTCCAGAGGGGGCATCTCAAAATGTCTAAAATCGTGATATTTTCCTGTTTTTATGGAGTACAACAAAATATGACAGATACCACAGATTTACATAAAAAAAATAAAAATTATTGTGAGATTCTCAATTTCCTGTGTTTAAAATTTCAAGAGCATCTATTCTATACTTTTTATTTTATGACATAATTAATGACCCCGCTTAAAGAACTTCGGTTATTCATAACGTCAGAAACACGCTGTTACGACGTCTATCTACCCATCATTTCAAAAATCGTTTAAAAAATCAGTTATTTAAAAACGTAATTAGATTTTTTAACCTTAGTTTTCCTAAATTTGTTAATTATTGTAAATTATGTAAAAATAGTTGCTTTAAAAGAGCAAATACGCTTTATTTTACTATGCTGCGCGAAGTATTGCGCAATGAAAACCCCAGTCGGCCCCCTTAAGTAAATATTTAAAAAAAATCAAATTGAGCCGCATCTGATTAATCTACTATAATTGACTTATAAGAGCTACATGATAGTAGATCCAGTGTGGCGGGATACAGTTAGAAATCCATCGTCTGACTTTATTATACTTAAAAACACGTAGCCTTAAGTTCTGCGGTTAAATGTTTTCAACTACTCTTTCATGAGATTTCTTTTCAATTTTATTAATGAGACACGTCAAGACTGTTACACATGTACTAAAATGATATTTACAACCCTCATTGAATAATCACCGGAGAACGATTTATTAATTACTAGCAATTACGATAGGTGGACAGTACTCAAGAACTTGAACATTATGCAGAGTTTTTGGATTTCCTGAGATGGTTCCTGCTGGATTTCTACTTGGAGAAAATGTTGTTAAACCAATTTCCCACTTGTCTCCCTGCTTCTTCTAATCGACTTCCTATTTGTCTTCCAACTTCCTGTAATCGACTTCCGGCCTGAGAGACGACAGGTGTCAATCTCTCCGTTATTAGCGTCCGAAACTCCGATGCTCGGTTTCCAGTGCAACTGGTCCCTATCTGTAGTACCTCAAATAGTACCCTGTAGATCAATCAGAAAGCCATTGAACTATGTTCTATTAGATAAGTTACATGTAAATATCAAAATTGTAAACGTGACTTAAACATCAAAATTATATTGCCATAATAAAATTATACTGATAGTAATCAATTTTATACATAAGATCAATCTGTAATGGAATATATGCATGTACTGTTCTGTTTCTCATACCTATGGATTTCTGTGGGTTGTAGAAAGCTGCTGGCTTCGTACACCCCCATAAGGGCATCCCTATTGTCCCAAAAAACGTCACAGAAGCTGATGTTGGCAGCGTTGTGCAGGTAACAAGTAGACACGTGATCCATCATGGTGGTCTTGATCATTCGACATCGGACCGTGTCTTGTGTGTAGAATTGCTTCAGTGTGTTTATAAGACAGTCCCCGGTTGCTTTGATCCAACGTTTTCCCTACATGTCATAAAAGATTAAAATTCACTTAGTACACAGAGCAAGAGTTTCCAAGAAAATTTTTTAAAAATCAAGAAGTCATGTGATGGAAACCGAAATAGTATTGTAAAAGCCAAGTACAAGGATTTGTATCGTTTGATGTCAAGTGGAGAACACTTCATATGCAGTAAGCTTTGCATGCCCTTCCCGTTTTACTTTTAAGCTATTTTTAAGGATTAGATCCCTCGGTACCCTTGAACTTACAAAATGCTTGAAAGCCTAAGTAAGATTTATTACATCTGATCGTTGATTTGAACATAATTAACTCCTTATTATCGAACACAAGTTCTAATAACTTACGAGGTTTCCCCTATTTAGATCTATTATATGTACAAACAAGTCTGTTTTAATAAATATATTCATTACATTTTTAAAATATGTATCTAGAGATTTGTGTTGGTAAGTTAACGTCAAGTAAATCTAGTAGAATTTCTACTGCTCTGGCTGTGTATAGCACTTACTAGATCGTTAAACTGGTTGTAGTATACAGGTTGGTAAAACTTCTCACAGTCGTATGTGCCATAGTGCTTACTAAATCCACAGTTCCCACACGGGAATCTCTGCTCAAAACAGTCGTAAAAATTGCAGGAGCCGGACGCCGCGTTCTCCAAACAAGTCTGTGACACATCTGAAAGACAAAAAAGTCGGTTATACATGTAGTACCTGCATAGTATTGATATTGGGTTCAAAAAAGTCTAAAACGTTCCCAATGACTGAAAGTACAGATATTTCTTCCCTACCTTGCACTGGATTGGTCGGTTTCTTCGCATCACTGCAGGACGAGACTAGATCCCGGAACATGTCCACAACAAACGCGTTGGACACGGTGACAAAGAGGAACACGGCGACTAATGTTCTACCAAACATATTCTCTCAAATCTTATGACTACTACAACTAAACAACAGTTTTAAGCATATATATATGGAAGGATGTTGACGTCATTAAGAAGGACTTCTTACTCACTCAAGCATACGAAGTGTTGACAACTGTAGTAGCCCACTTACATTGTTTGCAATTTTAATTAGAGGCATGAATCATTGTTACATCAAAACATGTCAAGGACCCACCTTACCTTATTACGTTGAAACGCTTGTTCCCCACTCCCCCATCTGTGTTAATTAAAAATTTTTCAGGGGCAGTAGTGGTGGTTGGGGGGGGGGGGTCTTAAGTGTTAATATTTAAAAGCTAGGGTTTGGAAACAGCTTTTGATATACTTGCATTTAACTGTTCCCTCTTGATAATTTTCAACTGACAGAAAGAAATTGCACATTTGACGTTCATAATTAATTATTATTATATACTGGTATAATTCATATAATTGTTATGTTTTAAGAATGTGAACTATTACGGAAGCCGGTAGGTGCCAGGTAGAAAAATATTTTATCTGGCGGCCGCCAGATAAGTTTCTGGCGGCCGCCAAATAATTATCTGGCGGCCGCCAGATAAATAACTGGCGGCCGCCAGAAAGTTATCTGGCGGCCGCCATATAATTTTCTGGCGGCCGCCAGAAAGTTATTTGGCGGCCGCCAGAAATTATCTGGCGGCCGCCAGAAAATTATTTGGCGGCCGCCAGAAAGTTATCTGGCGGCCGCCACATAATTTCTGGCGGCCGCCAGATAATTATTTGGCGGCCGCCAGATAATTTCTGGCGGCCGCCAAATAACTTTATGGCGGCCGCCAGATAAGTTATCTGGCGGCCGCCAGATCTTTTTATCTGGCGGCCGCCAGAAAATTATTTGGCGGCCGCCAGATAAGTTTCTGGCGGCCGCCAGTTATTTAGGTAGCGGCCGCCAGATAATTATTTGGCGGCCGCCAGATAAAATATTTTTTCTACCTGGCACCAACCGGCTTCCGTAAACTATAGACTGATAAAAATGTATTATTTAAGTTAACGTGTTCCTGTTTGAAGTAATAAGCATTAATCATTAACAGCCCAAAATGTGGATGCTTAAGGTGAAATATGCCTCTGCTCCAAATTTCACCATTTTTTTTTTTCAAATTCCCAGCATTGATTTTCATCAACAACAACAGCATTAGATTCAAATGGAAATTACATTGAATTATGAAGCGTTGCTTACTTTTTCAGAAATGAATATTATGTCTAATCATGATATGATGAAAATTTGATATAGTGAATAGAAGGATCAATACTTTTTTTTTTTTTTATCTCACCCTAAAATTAAAAATATGATGTATATATGAAAATAATATTTACTATAATACCTATCTACATGTATCACATTAGAAAACATAACGAAGCGTTGCTTTTTAAATCAGAATATCACATTGTTTCCTGTATAATAAAAATGCATAAAAAGAGTTATCTTTCCTTCTACAGGAGTTATCGTTCTTCAAACTATTTTTAGTGAAAAAAAAATTGATTGTAAAAAGTCTGGTTAGTCTGCAGCTGAAATTTCTGTAACAGTTAAAAGAATTACATGTATAATTATGTTAAGAGAGAGAGAAATATCTCAATTTTAACAGTTTAAAGGAACTGGGTATAAATGTTTTAGGTAAACTATCATAAGTAATTAATAAAAAATTAAGAAATCAATATTTGTTACTACTTTGGATTTGAATGTGAGGACTATATAATGGTCCTCGATATTAAACTCTGGTAAGACAATTCGTTGGATGTCTTGGAATAATTTCCTTGGAAAGTCATCTCTCTTATCAGAGGGATACTAGTATTACACCTTAAACAATAAAATGCTCAGTAACTCCAAATAAAAGTAACCACAGAATCTGCCACATTTGCTTCATATTTGAATGTTTTACTGACTAAAGACGAAAAGGGCCAACTATCAACTAAATTGTATGACGAACGACATGTCTTCAGCTTTTCCATCGTCAACTTTTCTTATTTATGAATTAATATTCCGTTATCACCAGCATACGATGTAAAATAAGTCCCCCAACGTATTGCTGTGAGAACGGCCAATTTTCAAACAGAGACAGACTACTGACAAATAAGTTGATGTTACAGGAATTTCAACAAACTCTTTTAAAGTCAGCATTTCGTAAACTCTATGGTCGTTATAATGACCTTGTTTGCAAAAAACCTCTCATTGGGAAGTATTTTGGCTGATTTGTTAGGTCATTGTTTTAATGCAAAATTTGACTACGAATTATTCCGTCTATCTGATCAAGGGCTCACAGCTGGTGTGTCCGGTAGACAGGGTATGCTTACTCCTCCTAAGCACCTGCTTCCACCTCTTTGAATTTCTGGGGGTATGTTTTATGCCCCGTTCTCAGAATTGTTTTGTTTGTAGCTTTTGTTTTTGTTTTTTTTTTTTTTTTAGATCGATCACTGTTCGTTATTCTCAACCCTATTCATTTTTTTCTTAATACGGATTGCAACAACGGATTTTGTAATTCTGCAATGGTTGCAGCCTTTATTGTCATAGCAAAAGAAAGACATGTTTTTGTTTTTATTTTTATTTGTTTAAATTATTTACATAAAATTGGTGAAAGTACTTAAAATATGGAGTTATTGACAGGTAGGTTACAATGATGGAAGAGCCCATTTCTCCAAGATGGCTTTAAAAACCGATTGTAACTAGTTTAGATTTAATCGATTGATTCATGGGAATCGCTTTTCATAAGAAATAAAGAAAATATACAGAAAATGTTATAATATATTGTACAACAGATTTTGATCATTTTAGTACAATATCGGTAAAATCTGTGACAGGATTTAATAAATGTTGAGAAGACGTCTACAAGGAAATGTTGAGATGTTTTGGTTAATACAAGTCTGACTGTTCTTTGCAAAGAACCGGTTTTTGGCAATGTAAGGGAAGATGTATAAGGTTTGCTGTACAGAGAAAAAGGAGAAGGATATTCAGAAGTTAAATGATAAAGGGGAGGAAAGAGTTTTGGGGGGATTAAAAAAATTAATCTCTGTGAAATTTTTTTATAATAAGGAATTCTTGGATCTTCTCCTTTGGGCCACGTACTATTGTGTTGAAATAAATAATCCTGTGATTTTAAGGTTTGATGATACAAACAAACAAGAGGCCCATGGGCCTTGAATCGCTCTTCTGATAAACTGTACAACCTATCACTTCTATTTGAAGCTTCGAAGTATCCTGTATATTTACATAAACCCTTGAAATTCCAATTCACACTCTGAGAACCCAAGATGATTCTATGCCAATTAGTACCTGAGAGTTGGTCATGGTGACCTACTTATCACTTGTGATTCTCTGAGGACCCATCAACTAAGTTTGATGATTCTAAGCCAATTAATACCTAAAATGATTTTTAAAATTATAATCATAAAATTTTATAAGTAGGTCAAAGTGACCTACTTTTCAATTGTTTTACTCCAAGGACCCAAGATGCATCAACTGACAAAGTTTGATGATTCTAAGCCAATTAGTACCTGTAATATTTAATTAAAGCCATAAATTTTCAAAAGTAGGTCACCGTGACCTACTTTTCAGTCAACCTACTCCGAGGACCCAAGACGCATCAACTGACAAAGTTTAATGATTCTAAGCCAATTAGTACCTGAAATATTTGATTAAAGCCATAAATTTTCAAAAGTAGGTCACCGTGACCTACTTTTCAGTTGTTGTACTCCGAGGACTCATGACGCATAAACTGACAAAGTTTTATGATTCTAAGCCAATTAGTACCCGAAATATTTTATTAAAGCCATAAATTTTCCGAAAGTAGGTCACGGTGACCTACTTTTTTAGTTGACCTACTCCGAAGACCCATGACGCATCAACTGACAAAGTTTGATAATTCTAGCCAATAAGCACCAAAAATATTTAATTACAGCCATAAATTTTCAAAAGTAGGTCACGGTGACCTACTTTTCAGTCAACCTACTCCGAGGACCAAAGATGCATCAACTGACAAATTTTGACGATTCTAAGCCAAATAATTCCTGAAAATATTAAATACAGCGATAAAATTTCAAAAGTAGGTCACCGTGACCTACTTTTCAGTCAACCTACTCCGAGGACCCAAGACGCATCAACTGACAAAGTTTTATGATTCTAAGCCAATTATTACCCGAAATATTTTATTAAAGCCATACATTTTCCGAAAGTAGGTTACGGTGACCTACTTTTTAGTCGACCTACTCCAAAGACCCATGACGCATCAACTGACAAAGTTTGATGATTCTAAGCCAATTAGTACTAATATTTAATTATAGTCATATAAATTGAAAAGTAGGTCAATTAGTACTAATATTTAATTATAATCATATAAATTGAAAAGTAGGTCACGGTGACCTACTTTTCAGTTGACCTTTTTTGAGGACCCAAGATGCATCAACTTACAAAGTTTTATGATCATAGGACTTAAAATGTCCAAATTATGCCTCTAAAACGCTTTGAAATCGAATGCCTGCAAAGTTCAAAAAGTAGGTCACTGTGACCTACTTTTTAATAAATATGTTTTATGGCCCCAAGATGCATCATCTTACAAGATTTAATGATTCTAAGCCTCCCCGTATTCAAATTAATGACCTTAATTGTTTTAAAAAAGATTAGCCATAAAATTCAAAAAGTAGGTCAAGGTGACCTACTTTTTAGTTGACGTACTTTGAGGACCCAAGATGCATCAACTGACAAAGTTTGATGATCATAGGCCTTAAATTGTTCAAAATATGCCTCTAAATCATTTTGAAAAAGAATGGCCGCAAAATTTAAAAAGTAGGTCACCGTGACCTACTTTTGAGTCAACATGATATGAGGTCCTTAGATGCACCAACTGACAAGATTTGATGATCCTAGTCCTTATAGTAAGCAAAATATCAACATTTTAATAAAATGTAATTTTTGGTCAACTTTGAAGTGACCTTGAGACCACGCCCTTTGCCCCAGGGTAAATCCCCGTGCAAATTTTAATCTACAACATATCCTCATC